CTGAAATGGAGACATCACCATTGCCGGTGAAGGGCTGCAATTTTAGGCCTATTCTCGGCACTTAAGGCCTTTGAGCAGGAAGGGATCTTTATCGTGCCACACCTGCTGTGACAGGGGGCCCCGGTTTATACGGTCTCATCCGAAGGACCGCCCCATTTAGTCGCCTTTTACGACAAGCAAGGGGGTACTGAAATGAATGGAAAGCGTTTTAAAATACTCTTCCTTCTTTGTAATTACATATAACATCAGAAAAAATCGAATTGTCTTTATTCTGAAACTATTCTTTAAAAATGTATGCTGTTGCTACTCCAGTGTAAAATTTTCATTTGCGGCAAAGGATGACTTAGAATCAAGCATTGCCGATTTATGCAACGCGAGTCAACGATATTGATATATACCGTAACGATATTGATACCGTACGTAATAACTGGAGGTCGTCCAGAGCTTTCAATTTTTACTCTGGGTCAATAGATTGTAAAAAAAAAATGTACACCAATGGAATAACAAATCATAACACATTATTTTTTTCTCGTTGTTATTGTTTAAGCGGGGCATTTAGTATGGAAAAGAGTTCTACATTGCGCTACACAAAATTTTATGTATGCTGGCTGCTCCGCCCTTGACGTCAAAATCCATTTTATTGTTGTTAGCAGATTTCATTACCGCGGTTCACTTTCTTATGATCACCGTATTTTTTAACAAAATTCTAACAAGCTTGCACAACATGAATTTGAAATAAAGCTGAAAAATCACACATATAAACTGAATTATTTTCGCTTTTAATATGGGTTCAAGAAGAGTTAGAACATTGGTGATACATATTTTCAATATTTGATTTCCTTACTGCTCCGGGTACCCCAACTATTGACACATTTATATACCATTGTAGAGAAAATATTTAACATTTGTAAAATAATTCTTGCTTTTATTGATTCTAAGTGTATTTCAAATTTATATGCAAATTTTCACCGAAAGACATTCATTAGAAAGCAAAATATACAAAATGTCTCAATAATTTTCGAACAGCCCTCGTACATTTGTAAGACGGCAGGTTGAATATTTTGCTGGTAAACTGCATTAAATATAAGTATTAGTACTTTTATTTGCAGTATTTCAGAAGGTTCGCAGCTCTTTTCAGATACCTTAAGGTTTCGTGAGTTTATGTGTAAACACTTGGCAAGATACACTGAATGAGACTATGCCCTTGCAATAAATCGATTTATAAGGATTACTTTTTAATAAATATGGATACAAATACACACGACCATATCACTTGTCTGGAGAATATACGGACAGTATATAAAAAGAATAGTAATTTAGACATCGCATCCAAGGAACGGCGTTTAATGTTACTGCAACTAATATTTTATTTGATAACAAAGGATATTTTTCATTATCTAACATGTGACTTGATCAGCCCTTACTGTTTACAAACTGCGCCAACATTTAGGAGGTGAAGTCACATTGACAAGTGCATTGCAATCTATGAATCGTGTATATATTATAGAGTGGAATTTAACTAACGACAAAACTGCATGCAATAATAAGTATTTTATTAGCCTACAGCTATCCAGGAGTTTAAAACAGCAAATACTTTGTGGTACTTTGAAAAACTAATATTTTGTGTGACGTCATAGTAAACATTCCCCGTATAAATATATTCTCCGCCTCCTAATTGTAGCCTTAACTGTTCAGCAAACTAAATAGATTTAAATAAAAAGGGAAAAAACAATAAAAACTGCAAATAAATTGGGAAAATCCTGGGTATATGTAACCGTTAAAATTATGTTACTGTAGAAAGTGCTGCTTATAAAAAACTATCTTATTTTTCGATTTCATGATGTGATAAATCAATTAGCTTGTGTGAGGCGAAGGCGTTTATGCATAAAATTATCATGTAAGCCAATTTATTGATCATCGCCATGAAAACGAAAAATCTGACACTAATTCCTTATATTTATATGCTCTCAAATCCGCCAATCCACTTGCCACAAGCCTTTAGTCTATTTTTCCAGCGCTGCACGTGATTTCTTTATGGCGTCTATCGATGAACCAGTACATTGATGAGGAAATAATGTACATAAACTATATGTAATTTTATCTCGGATAAAGACGTTGGAAATTAATGTAAAGTTAAATTAGTATACTGAGAAAGTAATTTAGTCACCTTTCCAGATACTTCATTTGATGTTATAAATGTAGTTGAAAGACGCAATTTTATGTTCCCACTAACTAGTGTATCAGTTGTGAAATGGAAAATGCAAGTTGTGCACGGAAATGGTGGTTTAGAATTTCAGGTCAAACCTTTGTAATTGAGATTTTTTGAAACTGTTTGACGCTATATGATTTTATCCTTGTTCTTATTTCGCACAAAAACACAATTCAGCTGCCACTATCTGTTTTTCACGAAGCTCTATAAATAAGATAAATATGCTAAATTAAATGTATATTTTGTTGCAAATTTCGCATAAAATGTGCATTTTTTTGCAATTACAACGAAAACACAGCACTTGAAAATATTGACAAAGTACGGATATACAAATAAAATCGTTAATATGAATATATAAAACATGATATTCATTATTGTATTAATAACAAATAAATAAATATTCATAAAACATCAGATCAACACAGGGTAAACCCAAACATTGATTGTTTGTTAAATTTTGAATTGAAAGATATTTACTCAAAAGACTTCCCATTTCCAATAATTTATGAAGAGATATTTCTCTACAAAATCTAGTTACATGTATGTTGAGTGTAATCTCGAACGATATCATTGTGGAAATAATTAACTACATGTATAACCTCTGTTTTTCATAAAAAAGGAAGCCAAACACATTTTAGTAATGTTATTCTTGTTATACTTGTTTTTGAAGTATAAGAAAGATAACAAACAGTAGTCATGCATTTTAGTCCATAAACAATACAAATTTGAATCCGAGCAATTAAACACAGACATGATCTCACATAAAACCTTAACATCCATACGCTCTTTAGTGCATTTTACCACACCCCTCTACTCACATTCTCAGAAAATAATCAAAGAATTTTTTTAATGGATAAAAAGCCAATCTTCTAATGCCAAATCATAAAAAAAAAATTATCGAAACCTTGGTTAATAGTTTATTCTAAAAATATGAAATAATGTCTTTGTGATCTAATCAATGGCAAAAACTTACCATAACCGTGTGCACAACAGATTGCCAATGTCAAGAAATATGCTATATTAACCATGTTAACTTTAGTTAATTTCACTGGGAGGGACAACAATGCGCTTTCAATATTGAAACCCAGAGAAAAATATACATCAACAAGGAAATTTAAGTTACTGTATGTACATTACGTTTATTCATTTGATAGTCGACATAACCAAACCAGGAAATATATCTGTAGAAATGCTATTAATTTACATTGTATAAATATTCATACGCAGATACTGAATTTAAAAAAAGTTGACTTTTTAGCCTTAGATCGTCTTTTTAAAAATTTTCCCCTTATGGATAAACAAAATTGACAAACAAATATAATTGTAATGTAATATTACCTCAATTTAAATCTAAAATAAAGATATGCACATTTACTTTCTCAAAAAATAAAGTAACTCATTTACATACAAATGCTATTCCTTACTATTTAAACTTCGATAACCACCAACACACTCCAGCGGTGCATGATAATTGCCTTTACTACACTTTTTAGAGCAGGGGTGGGAACATTTCGATCAATACTAAATTAGAAATGAACAAAATATGAAAAAATGAATGACCAGTATTTTTTTAGCTACGTCATGTAAAGGGCGCTCTTCCCTTAAAAGCCAAATTCACTTAGAAGATCAATAGCATCTTTTCAAACTGAATTATCACTCTCAAAAATTTTAATAAAATGTAATGTTAGTGTAATGATTATGAATAAAATTCTGAGAACCAAGATTCCGATAGCAATTAAAAGGATTACCCCCCCCCCCCCTCAAAAAAAAGACAAAATAATATACCTGTTTCCATCCTTTACATCTCCAACACCCCTCCCCCTCCCCCCCCCCCAAAAAAAAAATCTTTTCTCGGCATTGTTGTTCACGAATGGATCCTTTGATTAAATATTTCCGGGTAATACAAGACACAGTATTTGATATTGTAATAAGATGAAGTAAGTATTTGCATTTTTGAGAATTTGACGTAGAGGAAAAACAAAGTCAACATACTTCATCCACTTAAAAACTTTAATTCTTGTCTGTAAACACAGTGCAGGATCGTTTTATATGCTGGTAGTACAAGTGCATGAATGAGGAAGATAAATACTCTGTTTTGTCATTTTAAAGATTTTAAAGTTACATAACCTAGAGATAATTTCCATGATATCTTATTAAAACATGCATCACTTTGTGCGACTTTTTTTTCTTATCATTTATTTTATATTGATTATGATTTATTCTTAAAGCATACAGAAATAAAAGCTCTTTAAGGTATGTGAGAAATAGGGTTACACAATGTATAAGTATTAATCGGTAGAACAAATAAAATAATTTTGTTCGTTGTCAAAGAAAATATTTACAAATATACAAGAGGACTTCAGATACAACCGATTGTACTGGAATAACTTCAAGTCTTGCTGAAAATATTTTAATTCGATCGATAAACAACACATCTAACAGACTTTTTACAAAAAATCATGTTCTACTTCATCTATGCTTACAATCATTTTATTTTTTTTTCTTATCAAGTTGAAATTTCCAGTCTGAACTTCCATAATGCAGTTGAGTAAATTAAATTATTGAATCTCAATTAACATTGAATCGTTATAAAAGAAATATAAATTTCTTCATAATCACAAAGACTACATTTTTTTCTAATACATCTGATGTGTAAATCGACATATTTCATTTTTAATTAGCTAATAATTTCTTTATATGAAGTCCGTTGGAGATGTGAAATTTCTTCTAAGTTGTGAGTCTCGTCTTTTATAAGACATGAATTCCCTCATTAAGTTCAGCATTTCGCTTTGGATAGCAAGGAGAAGAGAAGAAACGTTATCTGTACATTTCTCTCCTGAATACCCAGAATCACAAACCCCAAAACAAGATCCGGTCACGTGATTGCATGGTACGTTACCCTTACAGTAGCCGCATTGTTCTAGACAATCCATGCCAAACCATCCATTGCTACACGCTGTAAAAACGTATAAAAAGACATTAACACAAGGCACGGATCAACAATGTTTTTTTTACAGGAGGGTGGGAATTCCTACCGAGTAAAACATATATTAATTCAAATCATGAAATATCTTGATGAGGAAAAAATGAAATAAAATAAACAAACAAAACGTAATCTAATTTCCAAACGTGAAAAATGTAAGAGGGTGGGGGTTATTCCTTGACTTTTAAAATTATAAATATATTTGTAAAAAAATAGGAGGTCTGTATTCGAAGCTTTAAACGTATTACTTTTTTATCCCATATTAACATAGATCTGTGTTTTCGAGGATGGGTGAGCATTTTCTGGGAGCGTGGAGATATCTAAAGTCACAATTCCTTGGTTCAATTTATATATTTTAATATTTTGCAAATTCCAAGGGGGAGGGGGCACTCTACACCAGCCCTTCCTTTTATATCCACGCATAAATGCTGATATCACTGGAGAGGCAAAATAACAACTATCTTGTCAGACTAATGGAAGAAAAAGCAATTTTCAGCTCAATTTTTGGGTAATAAATTTTTTCAGAGTATATTGATCACATTAATACAAGATTCATGCAGTTTAGAAATAATTTCATCCCAATTCTATTTACTTTCGTTGCATAATGGTCCTTGGTACCCTGCGTCACATCCGTTTCAACAGGATCCACTTAGTGGTTGACATTGAGCTGAATTCAGGCAGTGACCACATGGCAAGCTACAATTCTTACCATAAAATCCACCATCACATGCTGATCGGATATTTTTTTAAAATAAAAAAATAAAGATTTTAAAATATCATTAAAATAATTCATTTTATTAGTTGTTATATGTTTACTTATCATGTGGAAAGCTTTAAACATACGATGAAAGAAATAAACATATAAAACTACTTTTGTTGAATTCAAATTGGACGAAGATATATGCATGTAAAACTATTTTAATTGAATTAAACTTAGGTGAAAATTATATGCATATAAACTATCTTAAATTTGTTGAATTTATATTAGTGAACAATATATGTATATAAAACTACATGTAAATCTGTTGAATTCAAATAGGGTAAACAGATATATGCATATGAAACCCCATTTGTTGAATTAAATTCAGGTGAAAGATACTATATTTAGTAGTTTATTTCATGCATATACATTTACTTTTCTATTTGAACGTACGAATTTTGAACTGAAGAAGTCTAGTCAAAATTTAATAAACAGGTCCATAAGTCAAACAGCTAAAAGTAAGAAAAAGTCAAATTATAAATTTGGTAAACAGATAAATAAGTTAAATACCCACAACATATACTATACCCTTCCATAATTTGAACTTATTTAAAAAAAGTAAGTACATGTAGTGTTAAATGCACTCTACATTTATCCATGGGATCTATTAATCATCCTTTTAATGAAATATTTACTATTTGAACAATGAGGTCCCTTCCAGCCTGGTTGACATCCCCCGTCACACTCCCCTGTCGTTCTGTTGCACATTAAGGGATCACCACAGTTTTCGTTACAGTTTTGTTGACAGTTATTTCCAAACTTACCCCGTGAACACTCTGTAAAGAAGATTTTTAGAGATACTGACAAACATTTACAGTCGCCTGCATGGCGCGGTGGTTAGCGCCTCTGATCTAGAGCCGCGAAGTAAAGATTTGGTTCGAATCCGAATGACAACGGATTTTTTTTCTTGCTTCGCATTCGTGAAAATATCGAAACATCCGTCCAATTCGTGAAATAAAGTCAATATCCAGGTTTAAAAAATGAATATCCTTCATTATTTTTTTTTAAAAACATTACCGTTTTTACAAAATGTTCCCTCATATCCAGCATCACACCCTTTAAGACAAGAACCATTGATGTGATGGCATTGTTTAAATCCCAGACACGCTCCACATCTCTGTCCACAATTCTGCCCATATGTTCCCCCGTCACATTCTATTGATTATAAGGAACGTAGTTTTAATACACGATGAGATGGATTTTTAGCTGTGTTTTCTTTATAATACTTTGGAAAAAAACATACAGTTACAAAAACTCTAAAGTAGTATTTCATGAGGAGAGAAGAAATTTTTATAGAAAGATTTATAGAAAGATTTAAATGAAAAAAAGAGAATAATTATAGTTTTATAGAGGGAAACACTTTTCAAAGGACGAATAGGACCTTGACCTGAAAAAAAATCCTGTAAATAATTTTTTTCGTATTGTTTATATTACTAATTTAGTATGTAATTAACATCTTTAAGCAATCCTGTCATGAGATTTCTTGATTTATTAAAAGGATATCGCCTCACAAATATCGCCCTGTATTCTGTGTGTATGGAGTTTCGATATTTTGATGTTTACGGGTCCATTACGGAGTCCATGATACGTATTTTTACGCACAAATAATAAATATGTGAGATAACAACATATAATCGAATATTTCAGAATATTCACACTGTTTAAAATATTTGAAAGCTTTTGTTTTATTTTCACATAGTATTTGTGTGGGATAATTTCTGCATTTCTCAAGGCAGCCTTAAAGACAAAAAACTTTTTTTTTCTTGAAAAAAATATAAAATAATATTTCTAGATTTCTGACTGAATGTAAGTCGTTCATCGTAATTAATAACTGCATAAATATCACAGGGGGGGGGGGGGGGCTTACCTCATTATCGCACAGGGCATCGTTGAATTTGAAAAAGCATGATAAAACGCTTCTCGTTTGCATTTTTCGAATTGCGGGAAAGCGATTGTGACGTCACACGAAAACATAAACACATAAAATTATCTAAACAGAAAGAATTTCTGCTACCAAACACGAACGAATATTGATTTAACAAGTGCTTAAAAAAAGGACTACAATACGTGGACCATATGCATATCTTTCTAACCGAAATTCAATTGAAAAAAAATTCTAAGTTTATTGGATATTCGTGTAGATACGTTCACATTATCTATACTTGCCTACTCTGACTGATAGAACTTTCATAGAAAAATTATTAAATTTTATCTCCGATTAGCCTCTAGTTTTGCCATTAAAAAAAAGAAATCGGGTAATATTTTGATACATTATCACCCATAACGGTTTAGACTTTATACACATTCTATATATATTCGGAAGAAATCTATTATTGGAAAATTAGATCTGATAGTACACGTGTAGCGCAGCTCTGTAGTACGCATTCTTTTTCGGAGCAGCCCCCCCCCCCCCCCCACTTGGAAAACCGTTGCTACAGGCTTGTATCAAGCTGTATTTGGATTCCTATATATCAAATTAGTTGAAATCCCTGATGCATAAAACTAATGCTGGTGGATACTTCTATTTTTTAAAGCGTATAGTACTAGTCGTTGACTGAAGTTTTTAATTCAAGTTGTTAGGTTATCTGTACATGTATGTACTGCATGTTCTTCCTACTTTTTATAATGCTTGTGCCACAGAATCAATATAAAAGTATGTGTATAAGATGAAAATTTGGATCCGCCAATGAATATATAATTATATAAAAATTTATAAATATGAAGTGCAGATTTAAAGCGAAATTTGTTAATGAATAGCATATTCGAATTCGAATAGGTCGATTTATTCTACGGAGTTTCTCGGATGGCTCGTACCGAGTGGAGCGTTGCGGAGTCAGCCAAGGATTGCCGATTGCAATTCTCTAACATTCTCGCGCATGCGTAGCCTAACGTTTGCCCAGGACATCCGGTTAAACCTCGCTTTTATTTTTTTCTGCGCGGACCTCAGGGTCCACGTAAAAAATCAGCTTCAGAAATTTATCATGATTCATCGACTTTGACATGTCTCTTGTAAAATGAAACTAATCATGAAGGGTGTACAGTCCCTAAACGTTCCATTTCCAATTTTTCCGTTCGTTCAGCGTTCATTCACCATTCGCTCTCCGTTCACAGTTTTGCGTTCACCGTTCACCGTTCGCTAGCGTTCACCGTTCACAAAACATTCACTGTTCACTCTTCGTTCCGTTTACTTTGCGTTCACCTTGCGTTTACCGTTCACCATTCACTTATCGATCAATCTTCATTGTCATCCGGAACTCCGGAAAGATAAGTCTTATCTTTTTGATGGTAAGGATTTACACATTTTTTAATTAAATAACTAAGATATCGTGTTTGAAGAATAATTACACTGTATTTCATTGCAAAAAGTATCTACTATCTTATATTTCTATTTTTATAACTTAGCTGTTACTTTATCCATGAAATTTCCCTGGCAAAAAATCCATTAAGTTTCTACATGTATGTAGAACGATGCTGAAATATTAAATTTAAATAACGGCAATGTAAAAATGCTTCAAGCACGGCAACATTTTGTTGTAATGTAAAAGACGACAAATCGTTAATGGAATGATAGTAATCCAAGTCGTTTACAAGATAAGAATACCCCCGAAAAATGTTTCTAACACGTATTTTAAAAAAAATGCACGAAAACAGATAAGAACTACATATAGGTCTGAGAATTATGAACAGTACTGAAGATGTTCAGTTAATTAGATATCTTTAGAGATAATCAAATTGATAGTACGATTTTAAATTCTAGAAAAGACCAACTGTTTGAAATGTAATGCATTAGAATTTTTTTCTAATTTACGTTTAGTCTATCATTAAAGAGGGAAAATTCCTTCCTACACCGTGCCTAAATATATGTTTGATTAAGAGCTCCCCCCCCCCACACACACACACACACCCCGGCTCCTTTTCTCCCGAAATCAAATCTTAGTTAGTATTTTCAGTATAATTTAGTTAATATTTAATGTATTTTCAGTATATTTTAACTAATATTTAATGTGTATTGTAACAAAAGAAAATCAGTCTTAAAACAAACATCGTAACTGTAATTAAACAATAGTATTTAAAAATATACATTTGCCGACAGTAGTATTTTTAATTGGCAGGGAATATGTTTCAAATTCGATTTTAAACTTAATCCTTCCAAGTATAAATCCCATTATTTATTTTTTTTTCTGCAGAAATGCAAAAATCAGATCTAGAAAATGATAGGGAAAAATAGTAAAACTTCTTGGAAATACTAAGTAACTCTTTGCCTTCGGCATGTTCGGTGAAACGAGATTTCCACACCTCCACTGTGTCGAATGATTTTGATTGACAGGACAATCACGTGGACTTCCTGTGAACCGTGTGAACTTGAAGATGGAAAATAAAAGCCGATGAATACTGTCAAATGGATTTGTTAATCAAAAAAATGATTACTTTTACTGCTTGGAATATTTAGGAGAAATAATAATTTTTATATGATACAACGTTAACAGATATCTGAGAATGAAGGGGGTATCTCTCTCTCTCTCTCTCTCTCTCTCTCTCTCTCTCTCTCTCTCTCTCTCTCTCTCTCTCTCTCTCTCTCTACATTTCTCTGCTCAATAAAATCCATGACAGCTCATTACTCATTAAGTTTTGAAAATGTGATCCATTACAAATAATTTCATTGCCTCTTTCCAACATCTTGTTCGAGTATAATCACGGCCGGTGTAACGTTGAATATTGACCTCAGTTGAAAAATTGACCCGGGGTTCATTTATCAACGTTGAATATTGAACCAGGGGTGTTTTTTCTCCGTTGAAAATTGAGACCAAAAGTCGTTGAATTTATACCCGGAGTCATTTTTCAACAGCTTGATATTTTTTTCTTATCCTCGATGACCTCAACAAGTTGAAAATGGACCCTGTTGAATATTGACCCCACCTCAGAGTTTGAACACTTTTGAACTAGGAAGTTGCTTTACGAGATCTATCAGTATGTATCTATTTATATTTCGGTTTCAATTTTCTCCTTTTTCAAGAATAATAGAAATAAACCTATCACCCCGTTTATATATGTACATTTTGATCAGTACACGATTTCAGTTATCTTCAAGCATGACAACTTTAATTTTTGAAAATCCACATCCATAAATAAAGCTCTACAAAACTATGAAAAGGGCATAAAAACAAAAATCCTGTAAATCTGGTGTGAAGAAAGTAAGCCCTATATAAAATTATATTGATCAGGTGGGCAGAACATCCTATCTAGTCAAATTCAGTATAAAAATTAACAAAATTAAAAGCCTTAAAATTAAAATAAACACATCGGTCAAATCAAAATGAATCCAATGATAGGTAATATTTGTGAGAAGATCAATATAGCGACCATAACATGTAAGTAATGCTGACTTTAAACTATAGGAAATGTTCATTGAATGGTTGGTTGCCCCCCCCCCCCACACACACTTTTCTATGGTCAGGAAAATGTAGTATAAAGAAATGGGACTCAAAAAAGTTGGCATTGGAAAAAAGTTGGCCTCTATTAAAATAAATGTAGTGTTGTGAGCAAAAAAAAAAATTTATATAAATCAACAAATTTCTGAACTATATTGTATTTTTTGTTACTATGTTTACTAATATTCAGGATTTACTTATACAAATGTACTTCTTTGTAAATAAATAATATAAGCGAAATATTGCAATTTTAAGCTTCATGTAACTTTGAAATCTAAGATTTTTTTTTTTTTTAAATAGTTTTTTATTCTGAGAATATAACTGAATTACTGAATTCAGTGTGCATTGAATACATTGGTGTCAGAAGCAAATTGAAATTGCGGGGGGGGGGTGGGGCTAATTGAAAGAGAAAAAAAATCAAATCTGAAAAAAAATGAAAGAAAAAGAAAAAATTTTCATTGTCCAAACTGGTAGTCCAAACCCGAAAATCCTATTGGGGGTGGGTGGGGGGTGGGAGTAGGGTCCAATTTTTTATTTAAAAAGCACTATCAAGAAGCACTATCACTTGTTGTGATCCGGGTTAGAATAGGTCCTCAGTACCCCCTTGCTTGTCGTAAAAGGCGACTAAATGGGGCGGTCCTTCGGATGAGACCGTATAAACCAAGGCCCCGTTTCACAGCAGGTGTGGCACGATAAAGATCCCTCCCTGCTCAAAGGCCCTGAGTGCCGAGCATAGGCCTAAATTTGTAGGCCTTCACCGGCAATTGTGACGTCTCCATATCAATGAAATATTCTGGAGAGGGACGTTAAACAGTATACAATCAATCAATCAATCTTTCTTTGACTACACTGTCACGTGCCTGTTGAAAGCGGGGGGGGGGGGTTGAGCTAAACAAAAGTTACATTGTTCAATGCCTATATTATGTCTATCTTTGCAAAAAAAAGGCGGTAAGCATCCCTGACGCCCTCCTCGTTTTCGACGCCTATAGATTAAATCACAGCTGTGAAAACCATGTCATAAACATGTGTTTTTATGCTATTGAATTTTAACCGGTTTCATGATCAAAATTCCACGACCCGACTCAGTTTTCAACGGACTAGGGTCTAAATTCAACACCTTTGGTCTCACTATTCATCGTTGAAAAATTACCCCCGGGTCAATTTTCAACCCGGGTCGAAATTCAACGTTACATTGGGAAATATCTACAGATACATGTAGAATTTTCTAAAATAATCATCATAGAAGAATAAAAATGACACATAAAGTTTTAATATTTTGCATTAGAATTCTAAAATACAAGTGTATTCATGCAATACTTCAACAGACATTTGTAAATAATAAAAAAAAAATAATTAAAAAAAAAAATCCGTTATTTTACTCAGATTCGCCTTGGCACGGAAACACTTGTATGATTGTTTCAACCGGGGACAATGTAATATCTTATTAGTTGAAAGAATAAGCATATTTACTTTACGGTAATTAGAATCATGTTACACTGTATTAAAATATTGATTCAAAACACATGTATGTGCAGAAATTATTTATTTATTGCTTATTTTTATTTTAGCACCTGAAATTAGAATTATAAAATAGAAGAATAATTTCAATGCGGAAAAGATCGGAGGCATTCGTTCACCTTGCGTTCACCGTTCATTCACTGTTCACTTTGCCCTCGCGTTCGCGCTCCGTTTTCGTTCTGTGTTCACTCACCGTTCACCATCCACACATCGTTCACCAAGTTGCGTTCAACGTTCGCTCTGCGTTCGTTCGCCGTTCATTCAGCGTTTGTTCATCGTTCAGGTGGGAACGTAGAACGTTTTAGGGACTGTAGCTAATGTGTACTTGATCTCGCTGCACTGAGAATTGAAACACTGCGTCTTTGACGAGAAACGGATGTGTGTATTTGGCAATTTCATACTATCTAAATGTTTGCAAGATCTTTAAAAAATCTCAAATATCTATTATAAAAAAGAAATGTTAAAAAACACTTTTACATTAAGAATACACGAGAACAGTTGATTTTAAAACGTTTAACATGTACATCAGTATCGACTATGACGTAATCTGTCTTTTGCGTCATGTGACATGTGCCCTGTCTCCGCTTTAAGAAGAAAATGCACGTGTTTTACTGACAAGATAAAGTACTCAGTAATTTCCATACCCATACTCAAAATCAAATATCACAAAGTTGGCAATCTGGGTTTTTCTAAAACTCTGTTTAAGGTATTTCAACCCTCACAATTTTAGTGGTTCAAAGTACAAAAACAATTTATCTTCATTTAATATGGTTTAAATTTACCAATTATTGCAAAAAGAAGGACAGGTTGCCATATTATTTAAAATGGGAGACATATATATACAGAAGTATAATTATGTCAACATCAAAAACCGTACATTTTCAGCTAACAGTATTACAAAAATCATGTAAAAACTGCTTAAAAATGCACAAGTCTGATGCTGAAAGTTCAGAAATACTTGCTACTTTAAAAATACTTTTGAATTTTAGATAACTGGGAAACTATTTTATATTAGAAGTACAATAATGAATGAAGATACCTTAGAAGGAGTTACATGTATTACCCTTGTCAATTTTTTTTAAAGATTGAATAATTGATTATATAAAAAAAAAAATATACATTTTCAAAATTCTTTTACTTGGGTATGAATTTAAATCAATAACAGCTTTTGCAAAAACCTATCACATCAAACGAGCATGGAATTACCTTAATATAACACTATTATCTGAGCTTTTGTAAAGAATAAGATTCCTTAGAAGAGAGCTAAAATAATGTTAAATGTAGTTAAATGTAGTTTAATTGCCTTCTTTTTATATATTGCAAATTAAAACAGCACCATGTGGAAAAATGAAAAGCTCTTTGTTTACGCAACTCATTTATGTTCTTTTCATAGAGATGTAAGTGTATGTTTTTATATTTTATATCCTGAAGCGTTGATAGCATTTTGAAGAAATGCTTTGTCTTACTTAAGGAAGAACTAAATTATGTCAAAGATTGTACCGTTAATTGTTTTTTTTACGTAAATAGGGAAGAAAAGCAGAAAAGACTCTAAAAATTATAGCATGTTAAAATAAGCTGAAAGTATTTTGAATACAAAATATGTCTTCTATGTGCTGTATATATAGACATGTTTTGATTTTGATAGATCTGTTAGTGTTGAGAGTATTTTTTGACATGATTTGTTTAAAATGAAAGTGAAACACGCCCCCTTCGATTTAAGTCTGGTTTTTAACATTACTACGAATAAGTTATATTAATACAGATATAACCATTTACCTAACTATATGATTATAACATCATAAATGTTGTCATCTGATCATTCAATAAATGCATTATAAATGTACATTAGAATATAATTTACAGCTCAAAATAAGCCGTTTAAATTTACATAATAATTCGAATCCATGTATTTTTTTTAAGAGTATATCTAACAAATATAGCAGAAATGGGAGAAAATCAGGGTATTTATCTGATGAAGAAGGACATGGAGATAACGAACAGTTTTCAATAACAAAGTCCATAAAACAATACAAAATAGGATCAGAGCAAACGCGGACCTCCGAAACATCAGATGTGGGATGAACTTTTAGGTAACTAAATGTTATAGTGTTTGATGTTTGCTGATTCTCCTTTTGTTTGTGAATCCAATATTTTGTCATTTCTTATTTATAATAAATGACATATTTCATTCTTAGATATTTGTCCTGCTTTATATAGTCAGTTTACGCAAAAACAAGCTTCGTTGAGCTCGTTGGATGGAAAACGGTTGAAGCATACAATTGTAAATGCAATATACATGTATATTGAGATATAATTAACAGCTCTACATAAAACTGTTGAAATTTGCATAATAATTCAAAATCAATTTTGTTTATAAATAATGTTCAACAAAAGTAGATTTTTTAGGTTTTGAAACCTTATATTTTTCGATACATGTACCTAATGCTTTCAGTAATTGGTACAGTTCCATCTATTTGATAGTGCTATGATTTGTTTTAAAAGAGATCTTAAAAACCATTTAAGATTAAAATTACTACAATGAATAAGATAGTCAGTACATTATTCTGAGCCACATTACATGTAGCCATAATTAATATTTATTTATAGTTGGCATTAACAATTTCTGGTTTAAAAGTTAACATACATGCAATCTAAAACTATTCTTAAGATAGCTCCGTAGTTTCAAGATTTTCTGTCAAACTGATAATTTTTTTTTTTTAATTTGAATACCTTGAATATGTCATAGACTAACTTAAACTTTCATCAAAAACATAGCTTTGCAGGTAAATTTTCAAGCAACATGTCTCTAAGTACATAGATCTAAAAAAAATTAACAGCCAAAATAGAACATAAAGAAGTGTGATATCATATTTTATGTAACTATGCACCAAATTACATCAAAATATTAAAACTTAGAAAAATCAAAAAAACATTCATTTGCCAAGAGAATATTTGAAACGTTATTGGAAAATATTTACAAATTGTTGCTGAATCTATCCACGTCTTACAAAAAAAAAAAAAATCTCAAAAATCTTTATATTTAATATTTCTCAAAATCTAAACTGTTAACATGCCATATCTTCCTGTAAGACTATTAAAAATTATATCTAAGGTTAACAAAATCACATACTTAATTATGGTTGACCAGAGCAAATGAACAAAACAGCCTTTTGAACACGAATGCCCCCGTTTTTGGAATATCCATTTTTGAAACATTCTTTGCAAAGTTTAAAAATGTAAAACTTAGAAATGATGATATAGGCTTTAAATAACTAACAATCAATCTCAAATAAGTTTGTATAAAAAAAAATAAAAAAGGCTTTGGATCCATAAATAAAATAACGAATTTTGTGTCGGTGTATATACTTTATGACACATATAGTATGGATCCTATGGACATAGTGCAAGGTGTTTATCTCCATAAACATTAATGTATATTAAATGCTTGGTATGCACAATGACACCATGATAAACAAATATATACTTGCTGAATTATTTTCAGTCGTCCAAATATATTTTATTTCAATAGGAAAGTGATAATCAGAATTGTATACTGGTGTGTAAAAATGTGGATCTTCCTAAATAACAAAAAAAAAGTTCAATTAGATTTGGATTAGCGAGGGAAGCAAGCAATCTTTCCAATAATAAAGAAATCTTTCGTCTACTTACCTAATTCACCCTGGTGTCCATGGTATCCAGGTTTACACCCCTGACACGCACCTGTCTCTATGTGACAATAACGACAGTTGGCATCGGGACAAGGGAGGGAACAGTCCGGTCCATAGACTCCTGTTCTTTTGCAACCTTAAATAACATGGAATATAAACTAGATTACGTAAATGAACTGATTTGTGATTTTGTTTAAATTCTTTTATCATTTTGTATTTTTTTTTTTAGAAAACCAATATTTAGATTTAGAATAATTTGTTTGTATTTTAAGGACCCTTGTAGAACAATACCTTCAAATAAAATTGTTTTCTTTTGAATCCATAGACCTTTAAACAATTATGATAATAAAACAAGGATGTGTAGTCTTTTTACCTACATAAGACAAATCTCAAATCTCATATATTGAATAGAACAAAATAGGTAAACCCATACCATTCACCTCCACTTCACATAACTCAGCGTGTGCATCATATGAGTACTCTCTGTGATAGGTTGAATTTTTTGGTCTCTCGTTATAGTAAATGACAAATTGTCCATGTACAGGACACGGTATGTCAATAACGGCTGGAATCGTAGCTGCTGTATTGTTTGTGTCATGGAAACATAAATGACCACCAAGTCTGTCTGTCGTGTTAGAAACATAAACATAGAACCCCAAAAGACGTCTTGTGTAACCATTAAAAGGACCTGAATATAACGTAATTTAAATTTGAAAATATGTGAACAATCAATTGCATACTTCCTTTTTTTTGTTCAATAATAAAAAAAAATTATAGGAAACGTGTGTTTTTGAAAAGTACCTGTTTTATAAGTGTCTGTCTACGAGTAAACCATGCGAATTACTTCATAATTCCCAATAACCGACTTCAAGAAAATCCCTTTGATAATTTTAATTTGAAAAAAATCATATCTTGCATTAGATTATTTCGTGCTGAAAACTGTGGTTCTCTTTGAGGTCTTGGATTTATTTCTTTGATTTAAAGACACCAATTGATAGCTGAAAGGTCAAGGTTGACCTTTTTTCCATCTGTTTGATTTTTCTTGTTCTTCCATCCTCATCGTTTCCATAAGTGGGGGCAAGAGTTCTCTGAATTTGCTTGTTTTATATTTTGGATCATTTGCAGGTTAGCATTAAACTCAGGTATCCATTAATGACCTAGTCATATTTCCCGGCCGGTGGCCGTAGATCGGTGGTGATCGGTATTAATCGGTAGTGTGGACGATGCCCCAACATCGGTCTACATCGGCCTAGTAGTCCTTAAAGTATCAGTCACATTATCCAGCGATGGGTAAACGATGGTTAACCAAAGCGTTTTTTTTTTATGAAAATGGCCTTGTTGCTGCCCGGCATTACAAAAGCCAAGCGATGCATTGCTAATCATAAAACGATGTTCGAGGGTAATCGGCCGATGCATATTACATCGCTCATACATTGGTGAACATCGTTCGTACGTTGGTCGACTATGGCGCAACATTGTGAAGGCTGAAAAAAGGGGGCGGGGCCCAATTTATACGGGAAAAGTTTACAGGGACGACACATAAAAAATGACTTTTATGTATTTCCCATAATATCTGAAAATGAAATAATTTGCAACTTTTAACTGTATTAGCATAATAAACAGCAATAAAACTTATCAATGCATTAAAAAAAAGTTGCTATTTAAATCCCATATAGGTGGTTATAAACAAATCACTGATCGCGATGAACTTGTAAACATGACGTCATTTTGGTAAAAATGACGTATTTTATGTGCTGTAAGAGTCAGATTGAGGAATTTTTTTAACAATGAAAAATGCGTTTTATTATTAAACGGACTACTATTTACAGGTTGTAAAGAGTCGATTAATACCAATGTATATATCCTTTGTATAGTGCGATCATTCATTTACTATCAAGAGAACGTATTTTATTAATTATGTCCTGTTTTTATGTACAGATTACGAATATTTTAAGATGCCTCATAAAATCGTACTTTCGCAAGGACATACACTGAATAGATATTAACCATCTTTTGAATATAGATAAAGGATATTTTTCATAACTTGAAAAGTCCTGCTGCTTTCTTTAAATCGAGAGCGTGATATTATAAGGACACAAATATTTGGTAAAAGTCAAACATATTTCGACATTGGCCTATTAACTTGAAAATTTAACTATAAAAACGTGAATTCTATTCAAAGCAGAAGCAGTTTTCAGGGTGTACAAAGTATGCAGAAATAATTTATAGCTTGAATTTATAATTTAACTAGGGTATGCCCCTGCGATATTGAAATTTGTTAATGACCTACATTCAGGACACGAACTATGCATTCATCACGTGACTGTCCATCGATGGGACAAAACATCATACAGTATAGAGTGGGTTATACTATGCTATTTCAATAAGTTTTCAAGTTCATCGACTCAAGCCACGCCCGGAGTCCGCATATAGCTCTCTCCTACCCGTGGCTGCCTGATCACAAGAAGTGTTGTACTTTTGAATATTTACGCCTCTCAATTGTGACGTCATATTCAGTCAATGACAGGTTTTGTTTCCATCGCAATTGAAATCAACAATTTACATCAGCAGTATACAAAAATATTTCGTACACTGCGATCGGATATTGACAGGTCACAACAAAGTTCATTATCCGACTATGCTTTACTCGCATTGGTTAATATTTCAATGAACTACGAGAAATTCTCCTCTCATTCAACCACGGCCAGAATGGGAGAAAATCCTACATTTCGGCCGTGGTTTGCGACGATGATTTAAGTTCTGTGATAATAAAACAGATTAATTAAAAAAAAAATTAAGTTAAAAAAATCACCCTTATTTGCACGTCTATATTCCGTTGATTTCTCACAGTAGGCCTTAACAGTGCTGCTTGGACAATGTTTGGTCGAACATCGGCCAATGATCGGCCGATGTTTGTTGCCCACCACTAAACCCCTCGATTACCTCAGATTCAACGGACACTTGACGATGCTCGGTCGTATATCGGCCAATCCTTGAAAGATGTGTTTATGATGGCTTGCCGATGAAGAGCAACATTAGACATCGGTGGAGACATCGCTGATCTTTATCTTCAACTTGTTTTCTACCGATTACCCCACTGATTCGCCAAATGGCCTCAGTCACTGTTCGATTACTAAAGGTGGCCGGCCGGCAACAACGCAATATTTATCAAAAAACGCATGGGCTTCTCATCGTTTACCCCATCGCTGGATAATGTGACTGCTACTTTAGGCATTTGAATTTCTTAGAAAATAGAAAATAAATGTAATTTAAGCAAACATTGCCAAGGCCCAGTTGTTTTAAAATTTAAATTCAAATTCCCAATGTCATTTAGAACATCAAAATACATGCTCTTTTGCGTTTTAGTATAAATGAAAATTAAATGAACTCTTCAAAAATGTCTTTCTTTAATTATTGCATTATTAATTATAAACTTTAATTCGAACATAAATTCTTCATTGTTTTTACAGATTTTGAATTCATATCACCCCAGTGAAAGATTGCATTTAAACTCGTCAAAAGATAAAAGATCATAGTATAAATTGTTTAACCTTGCAATAATATCCCGTCAAATGGAAATTATTCTCCTTTGTGTCACGTTTTTAAGAAATTGGACAATGTGCACAAGAAATTGGACAATGTGCAATACTATACAGGAGTTTTTACATTTTACATATGCAAAGGACATTAAGCATTAGGGTCCAAAGCACCACAATAAGGTACGGAGTTGATGATCCAAGTTCATTTCTTTGTCGACAGCCTTCCAAAGGAAAAGGATCAAGCTTTTTTTTTCATGATAGTACTGGGACTTTTGATTTTCCTAGACACCAATTAATGTGACGTATATTTTGCTTTCTTTCAGTGAAGTAGCTTCATATGTTCTTTTTTTTTCAGCTCATCTGAGCTAAAAGCTCAAGAATGTTTTCTGTTATCACCAAGTGCCGTCTCTCTGTCCATCTGCAAACTTCTCACATTTTTCAATATCTCTTCAAAAACCACTGGACCAATTATAACCTAACTTGGTACAAGACATCCTTGGGTAAAGGAACATTTGAATTTACAAAATGAAGGGCCAAGCCCACTTCCTTTGGGAAATAATCAAGAAAATACGAAAATAGAATGGGGTCGTTGATGACCCCATCGATTTGCCAAATGGCCTCAGTCATCTTTCGATTACGAAACGTGTCTTGCCGGCAACCACACCCTTTTTATAAAACAAAAAACGCATTGGTAGCCCATCTTACACGCCATTGCTTGATTATGTGACCTGATACTTGAATTAAGCATCATCAAATACTTCATTTAAATACTAGTTGTGTTTTTATAACTTTTTGGTATTAAAAGAAGACATAAACTTTATTCTGTCCATTCGTTTGTATGATTTTAGGACAGACAAAATCAGTAATCGGGGATTATTATTCTGTTTATTGCTGTTGGAAAGTTTCAAATCCAACTGTTACTTATCTCTTCATTTATATCATGATTATAAGTACAAGACAGTTGAGCTTCAGTCTCGACAAAGACCTATATATGTTTAAAAGATATTCAAATCATGCATCTGTGTGACATTCTGGATAATTGTAAACTAATTCCAGTCATCGAGATTGAAGGTAATGTGCCTGAATTGATGTAAAGTTAAAATTCTAAACACTCCTGTAGTATTCCAGCAAGCCTTTCTTCCCTAAAATAGGTCAATTTTGCTAGGGTGAAAAAATCCACTTATTCAAGTGTGCCTCCAAATTGCCTGTTTTTTTAAAAATAAAATATGTTGAAAAAAATTTTTGATGAAAATATAATCACTGAAGTGTTTCTTGAAGTTATTTACCTGTTTTCTATAGAATATCCCTTAGAATTATTATGACATTTTTGCACTCGCAGTTCTCCATTTGAAAAAGTGATAACTCCATTGATTTAAATTTGCAACCCAAATCCCTTTAATGCTAAAAAAATATCTAAAAACAATCACTTTTTGAAAGAAATGAAATCAATTGAAGCATTTCTTGGAATTTTATAGCTGTTCTTCAGACCAATCAAAAATCGTCATTCCTCATAATTTTCGTGGTCTTTTTGCATTTGTATCTCTTCACATTCAAACATGTATGTGGAATAAATGCGAAAGATAATTTTAAGAACGGTTTTAATTTCTTAAATTTATTAATTTTGAATCTGTAATGGAGATTTTTCATACACAAACAGAATTATGTAGAAAAGGTGTAATCTTTCAATGGTGGGTATAGAGATTTCCCGCCAATAAACTAATTACCCCCGTATCCATGGTAACAAATCAAATGACGTCAACAAACTTATGCAGAGAGAAAGTGACCCTGATTTCACTTAGTATTCAAAGTTTCACGAAATTTTGAAAAAAATTGCTTTCAGAGCATTCTGCATGGTTTTCTGGTAGACACGCACTAAGACTAAAATGTTTGTAATTAATACTGAACCATATTTTGAAAGGTCATCCAAAAATAACATTTCAAGTCTGGATGTTACGAAGAATTGATTTTCAATATTCGTTTAATAATCTTTTGAAGAACAAATGTATTATACAATTCTTGAATAACTGCATTTAATGATTTAAAATGTGATTTAAAATATACTGACCTTATTATGAAGTTAAACAATAAATCATTTTAATAAGAATTACCCCAAGGTAGATTATCCGTCCTGTAATATACCCGTATGTCGTGTATACTGTGGATAGATGTTAAGTTTACCCACCAGGTGGCTGTGTTGCGTCTACTTCCGGATATAGCACATTGTCCTCCAAAGGCTGATAGATTATTTCTCAGACCATCAACAGCATTACTAGAGTCGTATGTAGCATCTGCATACTTATTACTTCTATACGCTGACGATTGATAGGTTGGTTTACGTAAAGCTATGTTTTCTATGGGAAAACAGTGTTAGTGAAATACTAAACATAGCTTCATGTTTTGCATTTTTATCTTAATAAAGTTAAGGAACATATAATATAATTGATCAGTAAAATTTTATACGCAATAATGTACTAGTCTATTCCCACTGTTTTAGTTGTAGCAAACTTATCGTATCCTTTTAAGATAAATACTGTTATATACCGATCAATAACATTTATTAATCAAGATGAGAAATTCTTTTAAAAAAATCATCATAATTTAATTAAAAAAAAAACGTGCTTGAAGAAAGAAAACTTACCATATCCAAGGATAATGCGTAGAACTGACAGTAGCAGACCGATGTGTAGCATGGTGGTAGGAATGACTCTTTGATGAAGTTATGCGAGAGAACAGCACGTAACGCCTTAAACAAGATAATTGACCTAGATTGTAAGGAGCCTCTCCTCTATGAAAAGATTTTGTTATATGCTCCTTAACTTACCACTCACAAATTGCAGTGCATAAAAATGAATCATGGTTGATTTTATTAAAAGTTTTTCGTTTCAACGAAGATATTCTCTCATCCTCATAGTTAAGATGATTCGTATCATTCTCTTTTCTTCGCTAGACGTGGAGTCGCGAAGTAAAGAGTAAATCCTAACGTTGTGGGTTCGAATCCAAATGTGGGACGTGGAGACTAGTCCTGCGGATTTAACAGTATAAACGGAAGTCCCGTGTGGCAGTAGGTGCTGGCACAAAAAAGAATCAACACTACTCAATGGCCCTAAGTGCCGAGTACAGGACAAAATCTGTAGCTCTCTACCGGTAATGGCTAGGTCACATTTCCCGGCCGGTAGCCGTAGGCCGGTGGTAATCGGTAGTAATCCGTGGTGTGAACGATGCCCCAACATCGGTCCACATCGGTCTAGTAGTCCTAAAAGTATCAGTCACTTTATCCAGCGATGGGCATACGATGGGCAACCAATGCGTTTTATGATAAAAATGGTGTGATTGCCGGCCGGGCTTACGAAGGCCCACCGATGCATTGCTAATCATAAAGCGATGTTCCAGGATAATCGGCCGATGTATATTACATCGCTCATACATTGGTGAACATCGTTCGTACATCGGTCGACTACGGGCTAATGTTTGGTCGAACATCGACCGATGATCGGTCGTTATCTGTTGAACACCACTAAACTCTCCGATGATCTCAGATTCAACGGATATTGGACAATGCTCGGCCATACATCGGCCGATCCCTTAAAGATGTGTTAATGATGGGTTGCCGATGAGGAGCGATGTGAGGCATCGTTGGAGACATCGCTGAATTTTAACTACGAATTATTTCCTACCGATGACCCCACCGATTCGCAAAAAAGCCTCAGTCACCGTCCGATCACTAGTGGTACCCGGCCAGCAACCACGCCATTTTCATCAAAAAACGCATCGGTTTCTCATCGTATTCCCCATCGCTGGATAATGTGACTTATACTTAAATGGTGGCGTCTCCACCATGAAAAATTCTCGAGAGGGACGTAAAAACAACATACAATCAATCTTCTCTAGACGCCAAATATGAAGTTTAATATCTTCCTCATTCCTTAACGATTTTTGTTCAAAGGACTATATTTAGGACTACATAACAGTCAATTTTTGCCCCCTAAAAATTAACATTTAAGAATGATATTAAGATATGTTGATATTTATTTTGTAAAAGAGGTTATATTAGAAATATTTCCAATATATTTTTCACATTTATATGCACTCAATGGCTGTAATAACATGAGAAAAGATGCATTTTTACTATCTGAACAAAAAAGCTAAAAATATGCCTTGTTCTTGAAATTCATTTTTTGTTATTGAAAACAGAGCGCAGTGTAGAACATACATACTTTCTGTCACTAGTTAGTATTGGATAGTTACATCTTTTTTTAAATATAAAGTTTGTTCTAGTCTGCTCTCAGTATTTTCTGGAAGAAAAACTGCTTGAAAAATAAGCAGTTTAATTCAAAACATGCTTAAATTGCGGGGAAACGTGAATTTTATGATGTCATATTTCTAAATCAATGGCATTTTGATCAAAACGAAAATTACCAATAAAGGTCTCATGTATAGCTGAACAAATTAAAGCTATATATAAAGTAGAATTAAGATAATCATTTCAAGGGGCCATTTGAGACACTGATCATATAGGCTTTACAAAACGCTCACCTCTCATATATCGTAATACATGTACAATTCGAAAAAAAAAATCTGTTCACGCGATTTTCCCTTTGTTTTAATTTTATAAACTGTAGGCCTTTTGTTTGCAAACAATATTCTTATATAATATTTGAAAAACAAGACCTTCTGATGAAGATACAACTAAGTTGTGCACATCGGTTTTTTTTTTTATTTTTGCATTAAAATTGTACTAGAAAGGGATAGAAATTTGAAACGCCAAAACAGCAAAAATGTTGATCTATTTCCCTTTTATATTTCAGAAGCTAAATATATTTTGTGAAAACTTTAACCATTATAACCTTTAACCAAAATTATATTGATAAAAAGTTTCTCGTACATTTTGGTAATGCTCAATATGGTTTTGATACTTTTAGGTTTTGCAAACCAAACCAAACCCTTGGAGTTTTCACAGACTAATAGTTATTTCTTTGTGACTGTGTATCATAACAGATACCATTACATTATTAGCATAATTGATAACTAAATTTGAACATTTGTCAAATGACAAATCCAGTTTTGAAGGAAAGATAAAGTTATTGTAGGTCGCAAAAATTGCCTTAAAGAAATTGGTCGTTTTCAATTTAAAATTTTAAACTAATTTTTTTTTATATCGTTCAAATAAAATTAATAATGGCAACTCAATAAAAATTGTAGATTTATCTCAATGAATACATTACTGTAGAAACCCAAAGATTATATTGATAGATCATCATTTGATGTGAAAACCCGCATTCTTAACTAGTGAATTCTTTAAATAAATCAGTTGGAGACGTAAAATTTTCTTTACATTTTCCATTCCGTCTTTTAAAAAACTTGGATTCCTCCATCAAATCTATCATTTCCTTCTGAGTGTCTAGAATTTGTTTAAAGACATTCTCTGTGCATTGATCTCCGGAATACCCAGGTTCACATACACCGAAACAGGATTCGGTCACGTGATGGCATGGTCTATAACCTTTGCAATAACCACACTGGTCTTCACATTCAGTTCCAGCCATGGTCGCAAGCTAGATATGAAGTGATAAAAGAAAGAAATCCATACATACGATATTATATCAGATGAATCAAATCGACTCTTACATGAAATGATAGCTAGCTGGACAAAACATGTACTTTGTAATTAACATTTAAATGGCTGGTTGTAAGGGCATTACCTTTGGATCGAATATCCTAAAAAAACATGCTACAATCTATGAACTCTTTACAATATATATTTTGAAATTTTATTTACATTCGTTGCATAAAGATCCTTGATAACCTGCGTCACATCCATTTAAACAAGATCCATTCCGTGGATGACAGTGAGCAGAATTCAGGCAGTGACCACATGGTGTGCCACAATCCTTACCATAAAAGCCACCATTACATTCTGATTTGATTTAATTAAAAAGATACTAGTAAAGAATAGGACTAACTATTCCCTTTCTGCTTCATGATATACAACTTATATGTCTTCCCAATACATAAGCAAAGGTTAAATTGAAAGTATAAACAGACGGTAGAAAGAATTTACAGGTTAAAATAGATGGTTATAAAAGTAACATCGCTAAACTGAATCATCAGATAAAAGGAACAAAACATTTTGAGTGAAAAAATGACATAAACTCTTTTTGAATTCAATTTGCAGAGCGTTAGTAAAAATGATGCACACTTAAGAGCAGCAAATCGACTGAATGACTAGAACGAAGCTCATAAAATGTAGTCGAAGATAGAAAGTTAAGTTCATTAGCTTAAAATAGAATTAC